CCAAAAAATCACCAAGAAGAGGTGATGGCATTGAGGAGGGATTGGCTGATTCCTTTATTTTTTTTCCGAAAAAGGCTTTTTTACAGCAAGAACAGACCATGAGATCCCTTGCTCCTATCTTCCATAGATATATTAGGGATCTTAGGGAGAATATCACTCCTCAACCTCTATTAAAGAAGAGGAGGTGCATCTTTCCCAGAGAGTCCCAGGAGGATGACCTCCTGGGAAGACAGTGGAAGGTGAATGAGGAATCTGGTTCTGCAGAACAGCATGGAAATTTCTGGTTGCTTTTCTGAAAATTTGGGACAAGGATCTTGACAGAGGGCTATCAACACATCAGAAAGAGAAGGGATGAAGGGCGGAGGAGAAAGAGAGAGAGAGAGAGGGAGGGGGAGAGAGAGAGAGAGAGAGAGAGAGAGAGAGAATGTATCACTCAAAGGAGCTTCAGAGACAAAATGATGCCTAAGGCTGCAAGCACTCAGTGGTCATCAGACCGGGCAGGTGGATGAGATCATTTGGACTCCATAATGCAACTGGAAGTGTTGCAAGTCATCACTAGACTGCAGCTGTAGCCCCTTAACTTGGGCCCAATAGGTGTGTGTTCTAAGGGAGCATAGAAACTCACCTGTCCTGATTCTAGTCCCAGCCCGAGTCTGTACAGCCTCCTCCAAATCCTGGCTAACAGCCACTGCAGCCACATTACTCCTTCAGATGAACTGTAGCCTCCTGCCAAATGCCTGGGTGGTGGAAAGAGGGATTCCTCATTTCTTCCTGTGCTTGGCTTGCCACAGAAATGGGGTCACTTGAGAGATTGGGAAGATTGGAAAGACAGACAAAGATCTGACTCTGGTGAGAGACACCTTCCCCTCCTGGCGGGGTGCCAACTATCCTCAGTAGTCAAAGGCCATTCTGGCCAGGGTAGGGTGGGCAGCAGGTGCGGCTCCATTTAAAGTGATGGAGCAAATGGACAAAGAGAGTTCAGATTTGCTCTGATATGTTAAACATATTCTCATGACCAATATGACTTATTATTATTCTTACTTGATAGATAGGGAAACTAAGAAAAAGAGATGGACAATGACTTAGTCAGAGTCACACAGTAAGGTACTGACAATGTTTTACTTTAAGCCTAGCTCCTGCTTCCCAGCCCAGGCTTATTCTCTTGCATCATGCAGTAGATCAGGGACTACATACTATGATTTACATGCCAAATTTGGACCACTGCCTCTTTTTGTAAATAAAGTTTTATTGGAACACAGTCACAGCCATTAGTTTACTTACTGTCTTTTCACACTACAATGACAGAGTTGAGTGGTGGTGACAGAGACCAGATGGCCCATAAAACCCAAAATATTTACTACTCAAGCCATTTTCAGAAAAATGTTTCCATCCATAGAGGACAAGTTCTTCCCAAAATATCTCCCCTCTTTCTCTCTCTGAGCCCAGGGCATACCAACTTGTCATTTCATCTACCTTTACTCTTCCAAATGCCATGGGGAAGTAGTGTTCCTTAAATATTACTTAATGGAGGAGAGGCTGGGGAGACTTACTATCTTCCAGCCCCCTTTGTAGTTGTGCAGGTGTAGCCTCTCCATGGAGAAATGATGCTCCACATCCTGTTCCCATGGCAACATGAGTTGGACCTGACTAAGTATAGCCATTCCATCCCTATCACAACCCCAGCTCTAAGAACTGCATTTTGGGGAGAGGGATTGTCCCAAGGTGGTGATTAAGTTATTGTCAGGAAGATGAATTTCCCGTAAGGGAAGAAAATGAGGGTATTGTAGCACCTCAGGCCTCCTGAATCTTCCAGGGGAAGAATATCCATATATTTCTCAGACAGTTTGAGTAATTTCCCAATGTCACACTGCTAGAAGGAGACAAATCCAGAATTAGGACCCATGTTTCCTGACTTTCACTTCTTTTTTAAAAAATAACAGACTGTTATTATTAGATTGTTCTTTTGAATTGAGTTAGAAACCATGTAAAGGTTTCCTACCAGATTCTCCAGTACCCTCTCCAGTCCAGTGTCTGTGATGGCCCTGTCTATTCAGTGACAACATAAACCTCATGTAGAGCTGGCTTGTGCCATGGCTGTGATGTGCTCAGCCGCATCTCCTTAGGTTGTTTTCTTTCTCCTAAGGCCTTTTTATTATGTGATCATTTCTTCAATGCTACTTGCACATGGAAGCCTTCAGAACATTTTATCTATTTATGGTTATGAAATCAACAAATCTCATGTGATGAGAGTACACAGTGGCACCCACACAACTGAGATGGTCAGAGCAGGGGAGTGGGCTGAACAGGGAAGGTGAGGGAGGGACACAGGGCCATGGGGAGGGGCTGGGGGTGGAGCCCAGTAGGAAAAGATGATCTTCTGGGCCAGGCCTGAGTGCAGTGCTGAGAGAAGGACCCAGGGATGAGACAAGGAGCATGTTAGAGCAGCCTTGTTTTGAAGGAAGGAAAGGAAAATCAAAAAATGCTTTCTGAATGCTGGGTAGGGACCTCACACTCTGAGAGCCATGGGGAGACAGGAGTGGAAGACATGGGCTGGGAGGTCTGGCGGAGTAGACAGACTTTACATGTTCATTTCCAGGGTCCTCCCCAGCTGGCGAGGTCCTCTTTGCCCTGCTGGTCCTCCAGTGGGGACTGGCACCCTTTCTGGGCACCCACAGGTCCCAGTGCATCCTCCTCCCTGCACATCTCATCCTGCCCCACCATCGCTTGTTCACTTCTCTGTCCCCAACAGGCATCCAGGACTGCTTTCCACAGTTCCAGCATCTGGCACAGGACCTGGTGTGGAGCAGGGCTGAGATGATATAGCCCAGGCCCAGTCTTGAGCAGAGGGGTGGCCAGGAGCAGTGAGCAGCAACCCAGACTTCCACCCAGCCTGGCTCTGGTGACCCCTGCAGCCAGTCTGGACTCATGACCTTTCTCTCTTCCAGCTACAGACAGCTTCTACCAGTCCTGGCTCTGCCACTCTCCTGCCCTCCACAGTGCCTTTGCACATGCTCTACTCTCTTCTGGGGCACTGCTTCTCCCCGTCAAAGTTCATTTCATTCACGCCTACTCTACATTGTAGTTCAAACATCATATCCTCCCTGATCTCCTCAATTATGTAAACCCTAGTTAGAGGTTCCCAGGCACCCTGCAATTCTAGTAGCACTTGTCATAGTGGCAATTTTGCAATTTATTTTGATGGTGGGCTGATCACCAGCTCTGTGTCCCTGGACTGCAGCTACTTCCCTGGGGAATGGTCTGCTTTGCTCACCATCAACTCATCAGCATGGAACAAGGCCTCCCAGAAATATTTGTAAGAAAAGTTTAAAAGATGGGAGGAATGAAGATATTTCACTTAGAGAAGAGAATGTCTAAAGGGGGCTGTTTTGGCATCTTCAGATATTCAAAGGGCCATGGAGAGGCAGTGAGAGAGATACAGTGTAGGTGAAGAGGCTGACAGAGTGTGAGGCAAGAGGGGTTGGAGGTTTGAGAAAGGCTCTGGGCTGAGAACTGCCTCTTGTGCCTCAGTTTACCCTTCTCTTAGAGATGTGAGGAGGATCATGGGCTTAATGCAAGACTTGGGCTAAATGTTCAAAGCACTTAGAACAAAGCCTGGTGGACAAAGGGAGTACAATGTGATACAATATAAGTCATTGTTAACTTCATGAAAAATTTTGAGCAAGGTTATGCAGACATGGGCATGGGCTGGTTTGGTAATGGAAACAGAGCCTGGGTACCAGTCAGCTTTCAACAGCATTGGTCTGGGCATGGTCTGAGAGCATCAGATGGAGTAAGCCAGGCTGGGAGCTGCAGCAACACCGAAGAGAAGGACAAAGATGACAGTGGAGTCCTGGAAAAGTCAAGGGATGCATACAAAGGATGCACCTGGGCTTTGGCCCAGGTCCCAGTGTGCCCCTTCCTGGGCATCAGTGGTACCTCACACTGCTCCCCAAGTCCAATGATGGAGAGCCTGGGTCAGCCCCAGTGCACCTTTCAGGCTCCGCAACTGTTCTCCCTGGCTGTTTCTAGACACCAGCCTGACTACGTTCTCCCCCCATTTAAAGCCATCATGGCCCCTACTTCCTATTACCACTTCCCCTTCTACTCTCAGGTTCCCAAGCCACCATAATAAGCTCCAGCTTCAGGTCTGTTTGTGATATCATCTGAGAGTACCTGGTGACAAGAGTTTACAGAGCCATCATGTCCCTGCACCTTATGTGCCTAGCGTGGGTATCAGCCTAGTAGAACTAGTGGAGCCTCCCAGCAACCCTCTGACATGAGGGCCAATTATCCCTTTGACCCGAGCCAGCAGAGAGGGCATCTGCAGGGAACAGTCCATGGGACCCCAGGAAAGACTGATGGGGTTTCAGAAGGGAAACCCTAGGAGAAATAAAGAAGAGACCTCATGAGTAGGGAGAATGAGGATCCCACTCTTGTGAAGGATGGAATTGCACAGAGTTGATTGAACCATGGCAAGAAGTAGGGAGCAGAATTTCTGGTCTGTTGATATAGCAGCTTCTTGAATCAGGAAGCACTGAGTGGGTGGGGAGAGGGAAAGGAAAGGACCTTCTGATGGAAGGGGAAGCTCCTGAATCACCCAGCCCGACAGAGGACGAGCTGAGGAGCCCTCTACAAGGATTCACAGATCTGAGAAAAAGAGGAATGAGTCCAGCCTAGATGTCAGCAGATTGTGTGTTGCATGCAGTGAAAGAGTCCTGGAGAGGAGGACTGGGCCCTTATTTTGCCATCAGCCCACTGGGAGTGTCACACAAGCGCCTTTGGTTTTCTGGGCCTCTGTTTCTTTCTTTCTTTCTTTCTTTCTTTCTTTCTTTCTTTCTTTCTTTCTTTCTTTCTTTCTTTCTTTCTTTTTGGTACCGGGGATTGAACTTGGGCCCTTGTCTTTGTGAGGCAGGCAGTGGAACCACTGAGCTAAATCCCCAGCCCTCTGTTTCTCTATTTGCAAAATGAAAGAGGGTTGTTTCACTTGGCCTCAAAGGGCTGTCCTCCCACTTTTGGTGCTCCAAGCATCTCAGGGCCTGGGTCCCACCTGGCCCACAGTTTCTCAGGCTTTGGAAGCTGAATGCTGCAAACTCTGAGATGCAATTTCAGGTGGAGATGCAGCCTTGCTTCCTGTGCTAGGGCTGGAGTGGGCCTGAAGCCTCCCAGGGGACTAAGTTCTCAATCTCGGTTGAGCAGAGTCACCTTGGACCCTGGAGACTAGGCCTGTGTAGACCTGGAGAAGCAAGTAATGAAAGTGACTGTACTTTCCCTCCTTGAACCCAGCCCATCTGGGGTCCTTCTTACAGACCAATGCCAAGTTCACCAGGGGGTGACTCACCATTGAAGGGGTCCGATGGGGTCCAATGTGCACAAAATAGACCCCCAAGTAATCCTTAGAGTTGTCCACATAGTCTGGTGGGAGGGAGAAAACCCCACAGTAGTGTCCCACAGCTGGCCACAGAGTGACCCACAGCCTGGCTCAAACACCCACATTTCAGAGAGCCCCAGACTCACAACTGGAGCAGGGGTTATTTAGAGTCATTTATTTAGAGTCTTAGGTGATTGAGGCCTAGTGCAGAGAATGAAGTGAATCAAATGACAGTCACATTGGGTGGGGGCCTGGACCCCAAACCAGGTCCCTGGCTCACAGTGCAGGGATCTGGTGCAAAGGTTGGCCTCCGGCATGAAGGTGCAAAGAGCCTGGGAACAGGAGGCAAGGTTCTGGGTCCTCATCTCAGCAACAAACACACCGACTTGCCATGTGACCTTAGCAAATCACGTCTCCCTGAGGACCACCTCAGTTCCCTGTCCTGTGCATTTCTGCCTTGGCTTTGGTAAACCATGTTCCCTGGAAGCACCATTCAGAGCTCAGGACTAACTTCCCCAGAATACAAACTTCTCTCCTTCACTAGACTCGGAGCCCACAAGTGCTGGTCTTGATGAGGTCCAGCTCTGGGCCCCCAGCCCAGTCCAGAATGGGTGCTCAGAGATATCTGGAACTGCTCTGCTCCTTAGCATCCTGGTCTCCATGGTTCTCCGTGGGTGGGTGCTGGAGGGGAGTGCAGGGGCCATCAGGGCTGGGCAGGATTTCCAAGGGCTGAATCCAAATTGCTATGGGGGCCCCCACCAGAGCCTGGCAGCCACATGTCCATCCAGAAGCCAACTGACACTTGTAGGCAGCCTGGAAAAGTTTGATTCCAGAAAGTTCCAGAGAGCTGAGGGCTGCAGGAAGCCTTCGATGAAAGTCGATGTTTGTAAGCTGCAATGTGGTTGGTGGTGGTGGAGTCCAGGGGATCCAGAAGCTTGTCTGGAGTAACCATTGATCCAGAAAGCCCACCTAGGTCTGGACTGCACTGCAGAAGAAGCAGCTGGTCCAGAGCCGAGCCATCTGGCCCCTTGCCTGGGTGCTGGGCAGGGGCCAGAGGTGGACACTCTGTACCAGCTACCTCAGCATCAGGGAACAGGAGGCTGACTTCTGGCCAGGAAGCTCCCTGGGTTCTGGCATATGCTTTTCTAGGAACTGGCTCTGTGATCCTGGTCAATCACTACTCTTCTCTGAGCCTCAGTTTCCCTTTCAATTTAATGAGAGGGCTGAGCTTTCTTGGGATCTGAATCTGGTTCCAGACGGAGAGCAGGGAGAAAAAGGCTAAATCCAGGTGCTTAAGGGAGGAGGGCCTGAGGGCAGTGAGGTCCTCACCTGGCTTTGTCCCTCTGTGGCCTTGTCCAGAGGATCCCCAAACGCTAGACCTGGCGTCTTGTTTCCTTCCAAGGGTCCTACAGGAGAGTCTCCTCTGTTGGGGGTGAGAGGTGAATGGGGACGAGAGGCAAGGACAGGACCTCCTCTCTCCACGGTTCAAACGTCCCCGTAGTGGTGGAGGGCGTTCAGATAGGGATGGGAAAGGGTGAATGGCGCCGGTGGACTTCCAGGGCCCGGACCCCGCACCCCAAGCTCCGCACCGGGCTCACGGCTGGGGGGTGGAGACAGCTCCCGGGCTCTGGAGGAGCCGCCACTCCGCCAGTTGCCTTAAAAAGGCGACAGCGGGAACGCATCAGCAGAAGGGCTGCGGCTCTCTTCCAAAATAGGCAAGAATCGGGAGGCAGCGGGAGACTAGCTGCGAAGAGCCAGCGCTGACGTCACTCGGGGCCTCCCTCCTCGGCCCCCCCTCCGGCCTGCATCACATCTCCATGGCAACACCGTGCCGCGGCAGCATATGAATGGGCTGCAGCTAGCAGAGATGCGCGCTCCCTCCCTCTCTCCTTCGGGCGGCTGCCCCCTGGGAAGAGATGCAGACCCGGCTAGGAGCAAGAAGCAAGGTGCACCCTCGTATTCATAAGGGCCCAGGGTCCCATTCATTTCTAACCGCCCCTACGGTGTCCAAGGAACCCGAAAGTTACTGAGCCCTGGGATCCCCCATCCTTTGGGTCAGGGCTTCTCGGCCCTCAGGGCAGCCTCTTACCCGCATCTCTCCTGTCATCTCTGCTCCCCAAAGTCTGCGGAAAACCTGACAGTCTGTGTCTTGGCGCCACCGCGTGGCTGACAATGGTGCTGCGTCGGGGCGGGGGGGCGGTGCTGTGACGGAGGTCCCGCAGTCTATGTTGCCCTCTGGTGTTTCCGAAAGGGAAAAGCATAGAAGAATGGCGATCTCCAAGGTATCGTGCTGTCGTCGACTATTAACGTTAAGTGGGCTCTCCCTATGTGTTAGGCAGTGTGCTGAGCGCTTTGCCTGCTACAATTCATTTCAACTCTGCACTGCAGAAAACAATTATTATTACCATTCTACGGGTGAGAAAAACTGAGGCTACTTGGATTTGCCTAGAATCCCAGAGCAGCTCTGAGTAGAACTCCTTCCTGAATTCATCACAGCGTGAAAAGCGCTCATGACCTCCTCATTTCCACACTGCTGTTGGCTTTTGATCAGCCTCATAGTCTCTTGAGATGAGCAGGACAGTGCTCATTAAAATCATTCCTGTTTCCAACTGGAGAATGGATAAAGAAAATGTGGTTTTTTTAATAAAATGGAATACTACTCAGCCATAAAAAATGAGAAATTAGAGACATTTATAGCTAAGTGGATGCACATTGAGGCAGTACTCTTAAGTGAAATAAATAGGACACACATGTGTAAATACCGAATAGCTTCTCTGGTTTGAGAAACTGAAAGTGTAAATAAGGACTAAATGTATAATAGGTCATGTGAAATAGGAAGAAAAGGGGCAAAGGGGAAGGAAGTGGGAGGGCTAGGGGAAAGGAGAGAAGGGAATGGGATTAATATGAGAAAATGGAAACATAGGAACAAAATCTTTGTAAATAGGGAGGACTGGAGGGGTTGAAGAGAGGGCTGGGCAAGGGTGAAAAATAAGAACCAAGAGAGACTATGTAAAGGTGCAAATTTCCAATGATGAATGTCATTATATTGTATACCTACAATGTACCAATGATTAGAATGAATAATCAATAAGGTAAAATAGGAATAAAAGGTCCAAAGGGGTAGGGGTAGTGGGAGGCACAGGAGAAAGGAAAGAAGGGAAAGGAAAAAATGATGAGAAATGGAAAAAATGGAAATAAAGTCTTCGTAAATAGGGAAGGGTGGAGGGCGTGAAGGGAGGGCTAGGAATGGGGAAAAAATAAGAACCAAGATGCATTATATAAAGGTCCAATTCCCAATGAGAAATGTAATTGTGTTGTATACCTACAATGTACCAATAAAAGAATTTAATACAAAAAAAAATCATTCCTGTTTCACAAATAGAGGGGCAGACAGAAAAGTGGAAAATTGCTGGCAGTTTCAAGCAGCCAAAGATGTAGTCCAAGTCCCAAGAGCATTTTTATGGGGAGGCAGCTGGATGGAAAGGAGTCCACCACACCCTGTGAAGTTTTATCCTTTAGTAAGAGAGAGACCCAGGAGCCGCCCCAGGGCCATCCTTCCATTAGCAAAGGGAGTAGGGATTCTTACTGCTCTCCCAGGGCTTTGAGGGCTCATAGCAACTAGACGCCCCAGCCTCTTCCCTCTATCCATCTCTATGTCTATATTTTTTGTATGTAACTATGTGCTACACTTTAGCGTTGTTGTCTTACCATGTACCCTTCCTGCTTATGGTGGACCCCTTAGTTAAGCACTACTGAAGTGAGAAAATGTCTCTGGCTTTCCACTGCTCTTCAGAATTGACCTATCCTCTTTCCTGGTGAACATCTGTTCTCTGGTCCACTGCTTCCGAGGTGTTAATTTCCTGCAGTCTTTGGAGGTTGTTGGTAGTTTGTTCTTACTGGCTTATATTTGGGGCATCATGGTGTATACTTCGTTGCCCAGTTTTGCTATAAGCTTTGGCCATATGAGTTTGGTTCTGTCTAGTTGCTATGTTTTTAAGTGGAGACTTATAGAGATTCAAAAATGGTTCTGTTGCCACTGCTGCTATCTCCTCCATTATTCTTAACTAAAGCTGTTAGAGATATTAAGAACTCTTGTTCAAACCATTAACAGGAACTCAAGGGACAGGTGGTCACCATTTATAAAGCTCCAGGTAGACATTGCTGCCAGTGTGGCTTAGAGGTTTGAGGAATTTAAGTGAACCAGGCATGTTGGTCCCCACATGGGTGACACTCACTACACTTATAGATCATGGACTCCCAATGTCTGTCACTGGCCATCTTGCCCCACCCAACAGAACACTAACTCAGTCCACATTTCTTCTTCATCCTGGATGTCTCTGCTGTTTTCCCAATTTCCCTATTTTCCTCTGCTACTAATGCTGCCACTATGGCAATTCTCAAAGAACTAGAGAAATCCAGCCAGAAATAACCCTCATCCAGATTTCCCCAAATGTGTCCCCATGTAGCCTCTACTGAATCCTTTCCTACTTTTTCCTATTGGGTGGCACTGGAGCATCTCCTGCTTCTGACTACAAAGTTTCTCTTGAATTACTGTGTTTACAGTTGTCCCTAGAGCACCTCTCTGCCTCCTAACATTAGTGCCCTCTCCCTCCAGTACTACATAGTGCTACAGTTTGGAACAAGTTGGTAAATTCCTCATTCACTCACTATTCCACCACTGAATTACAGTTTCCCATGTATCTCAAGTATGTCCCCCAGTGGTTCTCAGTCATGTGGTCCATGCTTAAGGATTTAGCATCACAGCATTGGGGGAGAGGCATAGGGATGTGGCTTTGCAGCTATGGCTATTAATGGCTAGTTAGTTATGGTTCCTACCAAGCAAGGCTGAGAACTGTCTGCTGAGCATTTTCAGTTGGAGCTATATCTCAATTCTTATAAGCCAGCCCTACTTCATTTGTTGCTGACAGACTACTGATTAAAGATAAATTTTCAGTAATATTCCTCCGGTCAGTTGGGCCAATAATTGTGCCATTGTACTTGTGAGATTTATTAGTCCTTGAAGTTTTGTATTAGTTAGCTATTGCTTTGTAACAAACAACCCCAAGCATAGCAACTTAAAATAGTACATATTTATTAGTGCACACAAGCTTACGAATCAGCAGAGACATTCTTCTGGTATTAGATAATTTCAGTTGAAGAATTGTGGTTAACTGTGAGTTAGGTGGGCAATTCTGCTGATCTTGGCTGGGATCTTTCAGGTGTTTAGGACTCACTCTCTATCCTTCTCTGGCTTGCTCCATGCCCTGAGAGGATGATCTATAAATGGCATCAATGGACCCCTCTACCTACTTATTGCCAGGTAAAGTGACCAATATTAGCAAAACACTGGAAGACAAGAGGAAGGTGAGGTTGAAGTATTTAACCATCTTGGTTCCTCTATACTGGGAGGACTGGTGTTATTCCTCTATCAAACAGTAGAGGGGGCCGGGGATTTAGCTCAGTGGTGCCACCGCCTGCCTCAAAAGCTCAAGGTCCTGAGTTTGATCCCCTGGTACAAAAAAAAAAAAAAAAGAGTACAGTTCCTGTCTGGCACCTCTCTCCATATAGACACCTTTCTGGGTTCAGGCTAGGTGTGGTGATGCCCTTCTATTGCTAGCCTGACCCTTGTTTTTCTAAATCTCCCCTATATTTGTTGATAGTCCTGTTTTCCAAGTTTGAATGGGCCATCTACTTCCTTTTAGGACCCTGACCAATGCCCTTCCCTACAAATCCTTCCCAATGGCTCATGGGCTGGAATCAAGTAAGATGATCCATTCTTAAAACAAAACAAAATTAGAAGGAAAAACTCTGTAAAATGATTCTAGAGAAGCTAACAGAAAAGGAGAATTCATGGGTAAACTCCAATATAATTGGCATTCCCAGTGAAAAGTTAAAAAAAAATTCACCAGGGGAAATATGAAGACATACAGCATCACACTTTTCTGAAATAATGGGTGTGCATATGTTGCTGTGGTATGATACTTCTAGTTCTTTCAGAAAGATACCAAGAAGGGGACTAGCTGGGTCAAATGGAACCTCCAGTTTTAGTTCTTTGAGGACTCTCCACACTAATTTCCACAGTGGTTGCACCAATCTACACTCCCACCAGCAGTGGAGAAGGGTTCCTTTCTCCCCACAGCCCCGTCAACATTTGTTATTGGTTGATTTCTTTTGCAATATGGAGGATCAAACTCAGGACCTTGCACTTTCAAGGCAGGCATGGTCCCACTGAGCTAAATCCCTGGCACATTGGTTGATTTCTTGATAGCAGCCATTCTTTCTGGAGTGAGGTGGAATCTCAGCATTGTTTTAATTTGCATCTCTCAAATGACCATTGATGTTGAGTATTCTTTTAGTGTATTTATTTGCTATTTCTAATTCTTCATCTGAGAAGTGTCTATTCATTTCAGATGCCCATTTTTGGGTTGGGGTTTTAAATTTGTGGGGTCTGGTTTTTTTGAGTTCTTTATATATTCTAAATAATAGTCCTTTGTGTCTGAGGAACAGCTGGTAAAAATTTTTCCCCACACTGTGGGTTGTCTCTTAACTCTGTTGGTGGTTTCTCTTGCTGTGCAAAAGCTTTTTTTTGGAACTGGGGGTCGAATTTGGGTCCTTATGCTTGTGAGGGAGGCGCAGAATCACTGAGCTAAATCCCTGGCTCTGTGCAAAAGCTTTTTAATAAGATAAGATTCCCATTGTTGATTCTTTGTTATCATTCCTGTGTGAATGGGGTTTTGTTCATAAAGTCTTTGATTCTAGGCATTTGTTTAAAAAATGATAAAAATACATGTTGAAAAGTACAATTGGGCCAAGCATGGCAGTGCACACCTGTAATCCCAGCACTTGAGAGCCTGAGGCAGAGGTTTGCCATGAGTTCAAGGCTCACCTGGGCTGCATAGTGAGTTCAAGCCCAGGCTGAACTACATAGCAAGACCCTGCCCTAAATACCGGAAAAAAAAAAAAAAAAAAAAGAGCATTTGGTTATATGTAAAATTGAAAAACTCCAATATACACATCTGCTAGATACTTATAGTCTTCTCAACTAATTTGTTGTTAATTGCTGGACCATACTCCGTTATTTGGGTTACAATCGCTTTCTAGTCTAAAATATATTTTGTAATAAAGAAGCCTATTAATAGTATACAGACCAGGGCTGGGGATTTAGCTCAGTGGTTCCGCCGCCTGCCTGGCAAGTGCAAAGTCCTGAGTTTGATTCCCAGTACCAAAAAAAAACA